CCTTCCCTCCTTTCTTCTCTCCTTCTCTCCTTCCTTCCCTCCTTCCTTCCCTCCTTTCTTCTCTCCTTCTCTCCTTCCTTCCCTCCTTCCATCCCTCCTTGCTTCCCTCCCTCCTTCCCTCCTTCCTACCCCCCTTTCTTCTCTTTCTTCTCTCCCTCCTTCCCTCCTTCCATCCCTCCTTGCTTCCCTCCCTCCTTCCCTCCTTCCTACCCCCCTTTCTTCTCTTTCTTCTCTCCTTCCTTCCTTCTCTCCTTTCCCTTCTTTAGTTAACAACCGCGTTACTAATTTTAACAACTGCAACGATTCATTTAATAACTGTGGCAAGAAAAGGTTATAAATTGGAGCAAAACTCATTTAGCACGTGTCTTGCTTAGCAACGGACGTTTTGGGCTCAATTGTGCTTGTATATCGAGGACTGCCCGTAACCACTGCTCTAATCATCAGAGCGGGCAAAGTTGACTTGTTAGACCCTACTGAACCCCTCTTTCATTTCGCTCTCCTTTTCTCCTAGGTGATTTCAGGCAATGAAAACACTGATGATGTGGTGTTGAAGGATCTGGGCCCACCTATCATTGCGCGGTATGTCCGCTTCTACCCCCGTTCAGATCGTGTCATGAGTGTCTGCTTGCGGGTAGAACTCTACGGCTGTGTCTGGCAAGGTGAGTAAAGCGGTGTTTGCATTGTTTGAAGGTACAGTGTGTTTTAGCAGGTTTAGCAGGTGTTTTTTTCCCCAGGATGGGTGAGTGGGAATGGGAATGGAGATAGGAACAGAATAACAACTTTATTGTCACTTTGAATGTACACTAATCACCATACATTAAAATGAAATTTTGTTGCATACAACTCTCAAAGGTTCTCCACCTCCAATATACGCTATCTAAACATGACAAAATAAATAAATACAAAAAATATGCATATACCCACATATATGACACAGAGAAACAACACAGTCTTGCTTAGATATATTCATATCCATGGTGAGAAAAACGTATCTTGCGAGTTTACCAGACGGATGGTTACTGAAACTGGTAGTCCTTCTAGAAATACTTTGAAACCTCCTCCCAGAGGGGAGCAACAGAAACAGACTATAAAGTGTGTGTCTCTAACAACGCTTTGAGCTCTAATCACATAGAGCTTATAAGCAGTATCATGAATAACAGGAAGTGAGCTTCCTATGATCTTCTCGGCTGTCCTTACCACTCTCTGTATGGACTTTCTATCTGAGACACTGCTGCCTGGTCATAACTTTTTAAATATACTTTTCTGGGTTCACATCATGTACCATGCTAGCCAGTCTTTCCAAACCTACTATATTCAACTGAAACACATTATATCAGGGGTCCCCAACCCTCAGTCCATGAACCAACACTGTTCTGTGGCATGCCAGAAAACAATCTGTAGAAACAAGTGAAGCCCCATTTGCAGGATATAGGCAGCACACAAAACCACGCCCCCTCCAGTCTTTGGAAAAATCTCTCTCCACAGAATCCACCTGAGATTTGCATCTATTGGTATGACAAGATGGAAACTTACTTCTGAATGCCTTGTGTCCTTCCACAGATGGCCTTCAATCCTATACAGCCCCTTTAGGCCAGGTGATGCCTTTGGTCCCAGAACCGGTCTACCTGAATGACTCCACTTACGACGGGTCCAGTGTCAGCAAGTGAGTGAGTAAGAGGCTCCGAAGGGGCTTTCAAGCATAGCAACGGGGGTTTGTTATTCAACATGTTCATTCTCTGTTGGCTTGTAAGATCATGTCGAGTCTATCCTTCTAGTGTTCTCCAGTCATATGTAACTATAGTCTTTTAGAGTTTTGGACCTTCAGGCAGCTAAGAGTTCAGAGAGTTTTACAAAAGATGTGGAGACTCTGGAAAGACTGCAGAGAAGAGCAACCAAGATGATTAGCGGACTGGAGGCTAAAACATATGAGAAATGGTTGCAGGAACTGGGTATGTCTAGTTTAATGAAAAGAAGGAGTAGGGGAGACATGATAGCAGTCTTCCAATGTTTCAGGGGTTGCCACAAGAAGAGGGAGTCAAGCTATTCTCCAGAGCAACTGAGGGTAGAATAAGAAGCAATGGGTGGAAATTAATCAAGGAGAGAAGCGATTTAGAACTGAGCAGAAATATCTGAGCAGAAATTTGACAGAATAATTAATCAGTGGAACAACTTGCCTCTAGAAGTTGTGAATGCTCCAACGCTGGACGTTTTTAAGATGTTGGATAACCATTTGTCTGAAGTGGTGTAGGGTTTCCTGCCTAGGCAGGGGGTTGGACTAGAAGACCTCCAAGGTTCCTTCCAACTCTGTTATTCTATTCTATTCTAATCTTTGGCTGGGAAAATCTGGATTAGCATTCATACCCAAAGTGTAAAGAAAGACATATTTTTAAATTTTATTTGTAAGTGATTTCATGCTGCTTCAGTCAAAGTTAATTTAAGGGACTCACTTAGAAATAAACCAAAAATAGGTGTAAATGTCCACAGTTCAAGTCCGTCATAGTAGACTTACGCACTTCCACAGGGCAGCCCCTACATCTCAGGTGCCTACGTCATTAATATTTCAGCATCTGAAATGCCTATCTAAACAACCAAATTTTCAGCATCTTCCTAATACCAACAGAAGAGAATATTTGTAGCTCAAGAGTTGAACTGTGGGGTCCTTGGTGCACTCTGAGATTGATTGTTTGCTTGCAGACAGTTCATTATCCAACTAGGTAACATCAACAATGCTAGGAGGGAGTCTCTTCAGTCCCTTCCAGCACTTGATGGTGTTATCTAGTTGGGTAATGAAATGTCTGCAAGAAAACAACCAAGCTTAGAGAGCACCAAGGACCCCATGTTCCTAAATATTAACGAAGATGCTGATCTTATTTTTTGAGGGTGGGAGGGGGGAAGTGTATTACAGAAGTGGAAAGCTCTGTCCAAGAATGTTCACTTCTGTATCCCTCTTGTTATGCGTTGCAGAGTGTGAACATTCCTAGTTTGGTTACCTTATAGCAGGGGTCGGCAACCCGTGGCTCTGGAACCACATGTGGCTCTTTCATCCCTCTGCTGCGGCTCCCTGTTGCCGGTCAGTGCCACAATTTTGAGAGGAGCTTCTAGTTAGGGGGGAGGGAAGCATGGTACATCAGGATGAGACTTTAGGATGGGTTTTCCCATCAGATCCACAATTGATAGGGCTTTCGATTAGGATAGTTAGAGGAAAAAGAATGGCGTGGTGGGAGGAGATTCTATGGTGAGGGAACCAGACTTCCGGTCAGCTCCAGAATTGGGTGGGGGGGGGGCTTCTGGTTAGGACCTTTGTGGTTCTTTGAGTATTTAAGGTTGCCGACCACTGACCTATGGGGTACTTGGGCATATGTTTAAGTGCTGCTTCTGTACTTCATTGTGTACCTACTCTTTACAGATGGTCCATAAAATTAATGGAACTAGTGCTGTATGTAAGAGTTTTGAGGGATCCTAGACTTTCTTTTCCTCATTCTGTTTTCCCTCTTTCTGTTTGGGATCCTTTATAACGCAGGTTACACTTTGGGGGTCTTGGCCAGTTGACGGATGGAGTGGTGGGGCTGGATGACTTCACCCAAACCAAAGAGTTCCGGGTTTGGCCTGGATACGACTATGTGGGCTGGAGCAAAAGATCTTCTCCTGAGGGTTTCATCAAGATGGAGTTTGAGTTTGACCGACTCAGATCCTTCACATATATGAAGGTAACAGCATTTTCCTGGAGAGGACCCGATTGGGTGTGAAGAACCTGGCAGGATTAATGGCCAATTAAAAGACACATTCCTAATACTGATAGACTGCAGTTTACAGCTTATTTCTTACCAATCATTTGGGTGGGGTCTCATTCTGCTAGAACAGGGATTGGCAATCATCGGCTCTGGAGCCGCATGTGGCCCTTTCATCCCTCTGCAGCTCCTTGTCACCAGACGGCACCACAACTTTGAGGGGAGCTTCTGGTTTGGGGGGGGAGGGGAAGCACGGCACGCCAGGAGGAGACTCTATGGCAAGGGGCGGGTTTTCCAGTTGGCTCCCCAATTGAGAGGGCTTTCGGTTAGGACAGGTAGAGTAAAAAGGACGCTGCGCTAGAAGGAGACTCCTCCTACGATCGAGGAACCCGTTGGCTTCAGAATTGAGCTTTTGGTTAGGACCTTTGTGGCTCTTTAGGTGTTTAAGGTTGCCAACCAGAGGTGGGTTGCTCCCGGTTCAGTCTGGATCAGGTAAACCGGTAGTAGCAGCAGCGGGACGCTCCACCCACCTGCCTGGACGCTTCTGCACATGCGCAGAAGTTCACGTGTGTGCACGTGCTCCCAAGGCAATAGTAAAAAAATTGGCAACCCACCACTGTTGCTGACTCCTATGCTTGAATATTAATACGGGGAAGGAAAATGAGTGTGCTTCAGAATTATATTTTTTATTATCCTGATCTCCTCCACTTCCCATTCCCATTTTTTCTCCTTTACCTCAATCTCCAGGTTCACTGCAGCAATATGCACACGCGTGACGTGAGGATCTTCGAACAGGTGGATTGCCTCTTCAAGCACAGCCTTGCCACGGCTTGGGAGCCTCAACCTGTCTCCCTACAGCTTTCGGTGGATGTCAGGGACCCCAGTGCCCGCTCTGTCACCATACCCCTGGAGGGACGAATCGGCTTGTTCGTCCAGTGCCATTTTTACTTTGCCGCTGAGTGGATGCTCTTCAGTGAAATTGCCTTTCTCTCAAGTGAGTTGGGGCTGGGACCTAGGTGATTGCTTGAGGCCAATGATCCAAAAGTGGAAGATAGAATGAAGCCTTCAAAGATCTCACATAATTGTTGTTACTCATTAGCGTCAGTCATACTGCCAATACTGTCCTGGTGGACAACCATTTAAATATGAGCCAGCAGTGTGCAGCAGCTGCCGAAAAAGCCAACACAGTTCTAGGCTGCATAAACAAAGAGACAGAATCAAGATCACGTGAAGTGTTAATACCACTTTATAATGCCTTGGTAAGGCCATACTTGGAATACTGCAGTCAGTTCTGGTCGCCACGATGTAGAAAAGATGTGGAGACTCTAGAAAGAGTGCAGAGAAGAGCAACAAAGAGGATTAGGGAACTGGAGACTTAAACATATGAAGAATGGTAGCTAGAATTGGTTATGTCTACTTTAATTAGAAGGGACGCAGTAGTCTTAGCCACTGAGCTTATCGATCAGAAAGGTCAGCAGTTTGGCAGTTCGAATCCCTAGCACCGTGTAACGGAGTGAGCTTCCCAGCGTGTCCCAGCTTCTGCCAACCTAGCAGTTCGAAAGCATGTAAAAATGCAAGTAGAAAAAATAGGAACCACCTTTGATGGAAAGGTAACAGCGTTCCGTGTGCCTTCGGCGTTTAGTCATGCCAGCCGCATGACCACGGAGACATCTTCAGACAATGCTGGCTCTTCGGCTTTGAAACGGAGGTGAGCACTGCCCCCTAGAGTCCGGAATGACTAGCACATATGTGCGAGGGGAACCCTTACCTTTACCTTACTTTAATGAGAAGTAGGACTAGAGGAGACATGTTGTAAAGACAACCATTTGTCTGAAGTGGTATAGGGTTTCCTGCCTAAGCAGGGGGTTGGACTAGAAGACCTCCAAGGTCCCTTCCAACTCTGTTATTCTAAATACTAGAGTTTACAGGCAAATGTTCTAGGTTCAACACTCCATGATTTCCTCTTGAAAGTGTTTGAGGTTTGAGATCTTTTTGGAAAAGAAAGATCCACATCTGAAACTTTGGAAATTTCTGGAGAATGTACAAGTAACCCTCAAGTTATGACCATTTAGTGACTGTTTGAAGTTACAACAGCACTGGGAATAATGATTTACCACAGAACCTGAGGCTTATAATCACTGCAGTGTCACATCATTAAAATCTGGATGCCCAGCAACTACAATATTTATGACAATTGCGGGGTCTCTGGGTCATTTGCGACTTTTCCCAACAGCTTTTGAGAAGCAAATGGGAAAAGTCAGGCTCGCTTATCAACTTAAATTCACTTTATTCACTCAGTGACCACCAAAGCAAAAAAGGCCTTAAAATTGAGTGCGCTCACTTAACAATTGCCTTGCTCAACAACAGAACTTCTGGTTGTAATTATGGTTGTGAGTCAGTTGTACTACCTGTACAATTTTAGACACCCAAGGCTGTGTCAAAAGAATGGAGCTTCATTTTTGCCTTTTAGCTTCAAGGCTGCGTTTCTGTCTCTCCCAGAAACGTAGATAATAATTGAAGTTTGATCGTCATTGCACTCAAAGTACAATATCCCTCTGGATGAGTCCACTTAGATCAGCATTGCCTTTTTCAAAGACTGATAGGAGGGGGAAGAAATAAACCTCTAAGTGAGGAGAATCCCCACCCCCTCCCAACCCCATTGCTTTTGTGGAAAGTTTTGCATTTGTTCCAGCCATTTGCAGCTGTTGTCCTGCTTGGAAGAAAAGGAGAAAAGACAACGCAGGAGAGCAGGGCATTCCTTCCGTGCCTGAAGGAAGGGAACAGAATCAACCCTCTTGCAGCTGTAACCAGCAGCCAAACTCTTTGGCGTTTATTCCAAACTGCCTCCACTTTGCAGCAGGTGTCAGGGGAGGGCTGGGAACACGGTTAGGAGATGACATGGCCTTTCCCCCAATTTACCTCCTGAGAAATACTATTAGAAACGCCCTTCCTTCCCCGCTCCCCATCTGTTCTTCCTCTGTATGTTCTGGACATCTGTGACAGATCTGGGAAAGCCCATCTGCTGTGTTTCCAGGCCAAAGAACAGCAGGGTGGGCAGTCCTTGGGATGGGAGAGTGGCAGGTTGCAGGGAGGCTGCTTAATCACCAAACTTTCCCCAGTAACCCAGCCTTCTTCCATCAAGGATGTCAGACCAGCCCTACTGGTTCAACGCAGGGCTTTGTTCCTACGGATGGGCCCACAGATGCCTCTGGGGTGCTTGCAGATAAGAAATGGAGACATCTTTCTTTCTCTGATGTTCGTTCCCTCAACCCAGGAGAGCTTTTGTTCTTCAAGATCAGTCAGTCAATTTCTATAGCTGCCCATCATAATGAATGACTCTCAGAGATGGGATTTAGCCGGTTCGGATCGGTTTGGGTGAACCGGTAGTGGTGACCTGGGCACAATCCCATTCCTATATCACTGTGCTTTGTGATGGTGCATGCATGTGTGCGCAAGAGCGAATTTCCATGTTGTTTGATGTTGCAAGCACACATGCACGGATGGCACACACAAGCAAATTGCTGTGTTTTGTGACACTGCACGCATGCGTGGACGGCAGCCGAGGGAGTGTGCACATCCACATGAGCTCACATGTCCAGTGCTGGGCATACAGTTGTTACAGTATGTGAAGCCCACCTCTGATGACTCTGGATGACTTACAATTCCAAAAATGTAGTACAAAACATTTTATTAATAGCAGCCTCTTGCCGAATGTGATTGGTAACCGGCTGCAGCAGATCTGGAGGTTTCCCTGGCCACAGGTCGGGTAGCTTTTGATGTAGGCCTCAATGTCCTCCTTCATCTGTGGCCATCAGAACTGCCTATTTGGCCAAGTGGAGCGTCTTCAAGCGACCATCTTGCTTGACGTAGTGGCAGCATGGCCCATCCTGTTCGGCCCTGGGAGAAGATTGCCATGGATTTCATTGTGGAACGCCCAGAGAGCCACAGGGACGCAATGATATGGACAGTGATAGGCCTCTTTTCCAAGCAGGCCCACTTCATCGTGTCTCAGGGCTTCCCCTCAACCTCAAGCTGGCCAAATTGTTCCTGACCCATATCTACCGGCTACACAGCCATTGATGCTCCTCTGTGAAGATCTTCAGTCCTCCTTGGAAAGTTGTCCAAGCTGGTGGGCACACTTATATGTTACGGCAGGGAATTCCATGTTTTGATGAAGTGCCGTGTGAACAGCTGCTTTCTTTGATCTGTTCTAAATATGCCCTTCTTGTTCTCTGATATTCCATAACTAATTTCACAGTGGGTGGAAGAAGCAAGGAAGGAGCAAAAACTACAAACAGGAGAGGAAGGGTTAAATGATCTCCTTACATATCCTCTGGATCTGCTTATCACCAATTCCCCACACCAGGGTGGATTTGATTTAAATCAAATTGATTTAATCAAGTTGATTTAAATCAAGTCCATTTAAATCAAGTACATTTAAATCGTGATTTAAATCAAGTTGATTTAAATCAAGTTGATTTAAATCAAGTTGATTTAAATCAACTTGATTTAGATCAACTTGATTTAGATCAACTTGATTTAAATCAACTTGATTTAAATCACGATTTAAATGTACTTGAT